CTACACGGTGCACGGAGGAAGCTTGGAGTAGCGCTTTTCCAAAACAGTCTCGCAGGACACAGAAACTGAACTGCAGCCCGAGGCTGGAGTGGACTCACATCAGTGTGAGGAAAAGCAAAGGTACTGAGGGCTCTAAAAACCATGTCTTAGACCATGGTTCTTTTTTTAGCTGCCCTTCCCTGCGTGGGCACTCATGTACCGGAAAATGTGCATCAACAGAGTCAGGGGCGGACCAAAACCAATTTTTCAAGCAAATGTAAACAGAGCTTTGTGAAATCTGTGGCACAGCTCTGACCCTGGGGGTTCTGCAGGGAAAGGGGAAGTGGCGAGGGGGCCCGACGAGGCCCGAGGGGCCGGGAGCCCGGGGCTGAGGGAGGTGGAGCTTCCCATCGCCTGCTCCCTCCTGTGCGGCGGGACCCTGAGGAAGTTTCCTGTAGACCCACTTGTGGCCCCTCGCCCCGCTGCTTGTTGAAACTGGAACTTTGCAGGCCCTAAATCTGTAAATGTCCGCGTGTATTAAGACCCCCTTCAAGCCCTGGCTGGCGTAGCTCAGTGGATTGAGCGCGGGCTGGGAACCAGAGTGTCCCAGGTTCGATTCCCAGCCAGGGTACATTCCTGGGTTGCAGGCCATAACCCCCAGCAACCGCACATTGATGTTTCTCTCTCTTTCTCCCTCTCTCCCTCTCTCTCTCCCCCCTTCTCTCCCTAAAATAAATAAATAAATAAAATCTAAATAAAAAAGCAAAAAAAAAAAAAAGACCCCCTTCAAATGATTACAATAGGAGTGTGGCTTTTGCCCTCGCATTTTTTTTTGTTTATCTTAAGACTGCTTAGAAACGCAACTTCTAAGCAATCAGCTGTTCACTCGTTCCACAGGTGCACGCACACAGGGCGCTGCAGGGAGCTGCAGGAGCCAACACCATGGCCCGGGCACGTTCGTCGCGGAACAACGTAGACACCTCTGCTCCGCACGGCAGTGATACAGGTGACGGAGTGGAGTCGCCCTTGCAGAGGCTAAATACTGGTACCCACTTCCCTATGCGTCTGGGCCTGGGTCCCTGTTTTCCCCGTTTTACTAATGCTTGTTAGATTGTTCTTTTCCCCCTCCACGATTTCTGGCCCCCTTGCATGCTGACAGCTCTTGGGTCACTATTGCCCCGACAGCATGTTCCCGAACTTGGGATGTGCACCCTCGGCTGCCTAGGGGACCTTTTCATGCAGACTCGTTCCTTCAGTCAGACATTTTTTGAGCATCTTTTCTGCGTCAGGAATTCATTCTTTTTTTTAAAAGATTTTATTTATTTATTTTAAGAGAGGGAAAGGAGGGAGAGGGAGGGGGAGAGAGAGAGAGAGAGAGAGAGAGAGAGAGAGACAGACATGTGTGGTTGCTGGGGGACATGGCCTGCAACCCAGGCATGTACCCTGACTGGGAATCGAACCTGCGACACTTTGGTTGGAAGCCCGCGCTCAATCCACTGAGCTACACAAGCCAGGGCTTCATGCTCACCATTTTCAGTAAACTTACCGATTCGGGCTGAAGTCCCTTTCAGAAGTGACCCCGTACAACACTGGGCCCTTTTACACACTTCTCGTTACTTCTGCAACAGTGACTGGCTTGCCGGTGTGTCTTTGTTAAACGCAGCCCGGCGCATGACTCAAAGCAAGCGCCGAAAGAATGAGGGGGTACGAACCAAATGCATTATCCTTAGTGGCTGGGGGAATGCAAACACGGACACTCCACACTTAAACCCCAGCCACCGGCCGTGGGGTTCCTCCCTCCTCGAAGCCTCAGAATCACCCGAGAAATCCCCCTCAGTGTGCGATTCAACCATTCGGACCCTGCACACAGTATGCAGTTTGCTTGGAAAAAACTTTGACTTAAAAGCACAATACTCCTTTCTCAAATAATGGCTTCCACTTTGGAAAATTACTGCATACACCATTTCATCAGTTACGTTGCTAAACCGAAACCGATGAAATGATGTACGCAATACATGATTGCATACATGATACATGATTGCATCACCATGTATTGCATACATCATTTCGCTGGCATACATCATATGTTAGCATACATCATTTCGTTGTTAGCAGCAGAGAGAATTTCGGTTCCAGAATATATGAACTGCAGAAGTTAGGAGACTCCCTTCGGGTTCAGATAACCTGAAGTGGACAGAACTGGTTCTGAGGTCTAGAACAGGAAACTGAAGGTAGTGACAGAAGAAAGCAAGGACAGGGCTGCTCTAGTGTCACACGGGAGAAAAAAGATCCAACTTGTAACAAAGGAGTAGTGACGGCGGGAATCCAGACACCAAATTAGCAACGTGTTTACCATGTCAATGGGGGACCAGGAGGGCAAAGTGTAACTTGTTATGTATCATATTTAGAGTAAGATGACACAAACTGGCAAGCTTCTCCTTCCTGGTGCCTCGCAGGGGCGGCGAACACCTGTTCACAAGCGCCGTGGCAAGTGGGGATTCACAGGGCAACACTGTGTCGTCCTGAGGCGTGTTACTGGTGGTGTTTCCATCTGTTACCGCCCGGTCTTCCCTTCTTCAGGCTGCTGGGACAGGCCACTGACCCTGATTTCCAAAGAATTATGGTTCATTTTGCTTTGTAGAGAATAGTAAACATTATTAGAATGTCTGTTTTATATGCTCCTATCTCTACTTTGACATGTCTACCTAGGCACCTAGGAAGATTTACTCAATATAGTCTTGATAACGGTATAAAATGTAATTTGCCCTGGCCAGAGTGGCTTGGTTGGTTGGAATGTCATCCCATAGACCGAAAGGTCTTGGGTTCGATTCCCAGTCAGGGCACATGCCCCGGTCCCCGGTCACTCCCTGGCTGGGGTGCGTGCAGGAGGCGACTGTTCCGTGTTTCTCTCTCATGTGGATGTTTCTCTCCTTCGGTCTCTCTCCCTCCCTTCCCCTCTCTCTAAAAATTAATAAGCATATTCTCCAATGAGGAAAAAATATGCATATAAATATAACTTTTTTAAAAAAGATTTTATTTAATTTTTAGAAAGGGAAGTGTGGGAGAAAGAGAGAGAGAGAGAAACATCAGTGTGTGGCTGCTGGGGGTCATGGCCTGCAACCCAGGCACATGCCCTGACTGGGAATCGAACCTGCGACACTTTGGTTCGTAGCCTGCACTCAATCCACTGAGCTACGCCAGCCAGGGCATAAATATAACTTTTTAAAAACAGGAATTCTTAAAGACAGTTAAAGTACTTTATGCACATGAAAACACGCTTTCACTCAAAGAAGTTTTCCAGATAGTTATGCACAGCAATCAACTGGCAACGTCCGTACAACGCACTGCGTCTCAGCAGGCAGGTGCGGGGCGGAGGCCTGGACTCCGAGGGCCGTGGCCCGCACTTCTGAACAGCAAGGCCTGGACCCGTGGTTCTCAGCCCCCGGCCTACTGGAATCACCTGGAGAGCTTTTGGAAACAGCATTTCTGGGGTGAAAGGTTCTATGGTCTGAGGTCCAATCTGGTTACTGATTTTTAAAGCTCCCAAGCAGCCAAATTTGAGAACCTACAGCCCCAAATGGGTTGGTTGTTAGATTGCCCCTGGCTCCTATACTGTTAATAAAAGCTAAGAATAACCCGGACTGCACAGATTATCAGTAACAGATGCCCCAAATGTCCACATTCTTACTGAGTATATGATTATTAATCGAGTTCTAAAGTTAAGAATTTCGGTGGCTTCATTTATGTACTCTTACCAAATTATTTAATAGCATACTTTTAATATATTTGAAGGTAAGATACTTATGGAATAATCTGACTTATTTTCAGATTAGGATGTAGATATGTGAAAATGTGGTTTTAAACCATATAGAGATATCTATTTCTAATTACAGATAAAAAGTTTAGATTAGTTGGGATGTTTATAAAAAGAAAAAAAAGCAACCCAAACCTGGTACTCACAGCCACAGGAAGACCCAGCCTTGGAAAGGAAAATCAAACATCTACCGAGTAGCCATCCCTACTTGAAGTAGGCACCACCGATCCTAGAGTTTCAAACAAATTACCACTCTTCCTTCATAAGGGTTTTCCTAGTTATTGCTAAGGTGAGGTTTGTAGAAGGTCTGGCTACAATTCCATTCCAAGGGTCCCTCCCTAACGCTTAGAAATGCACATCGTACAAACCAAGTACAAAGAACATGTTAAACTCTGAGGTGTCTGCAGAAATTCCCGCATCATAGTTGAGTACTGGGGTACAAGGTCACTGCCACACACTCCGCAACTTACTCAAGCTTTCTGAACAGGCTCCTCACCCCTGAAATCAGATGCAGAGCAAGCCCAGTAAGAATGTGAACACACACAGAAACGGCGTTAAGTAGAACCGAGACAGGCCGCACAATACACACAGGGGAGCAGCACAAGAAATGAGTCCGGATGGGACTCCTTCCGGCTTTGCCACTAATCAGCAACCTAATAGCAAATCACACAGCTTAGCCTCACTTTAAAAATAAGGACACTTCCAATACGTGATCCTGGGCACCCTCCGCAGATCAAAGTTCTATGAGCTAAAAAGAACGAGTTGAGAGATTCTCTGAAGCAAATAGGATTAATTCTAATGACAAAAACCACAAGAGTTTACTTTTAACATGACTGGATTAACAGGCCCCTTAAGTAAAAAATTTGTCTTCAAGAAAAGTCTACTATTTGGCTAGCACTTAAAATAACAATAAATTTAAAAATGAAAAAAAAATGGAGTGTAAGGGAAGCGGGGGGAAAGGGATCATGAGGCAGTGCAAGAACACGATGAAGAAATCAGACAGGCACTGCAAACTGAGGGAAATGGGATACTCAAAAGCCCTTCCTAGGGAAAGCTATGCCCAAGGATAAAGGGTGGGCATTTACGATGGACCCCAAGGAGCATACAAGGACCCTTATTACACATACAAAACATTCTAAGTACTGCAAGTAGCTCATGATCTCTAGATGAAATTGTCCTACTACATAAAAATGGTAGTACCAAAAGGTTACTTCCTTTTAATTTATTTAGCTTTAAATACATGTCCTGCCAGCCACAGGACACCCGGTGTGACCGGTCCCTGTGACAGTCACAGCGCTGCCCAGGCGGCCTCCGTCACGAGGATGCTGAGAAAGCGCATCCTTAAGGAGGCTTGGGGCTGTCTCGCGGACGGTCCCAACCATCAGTCTTCCTCGGAACTGGAATCCTCCTCCTGGTCGGACAGCTCCGGCACAGGGAAGCGGAGGATGGCGGCCACCCCGGTCAGCTGGCTGAGCTGCTCCCCGGAGACGTGCAGGCTGGAGAACACCCGGACCGTGCCCGCGTTCTCCTTCACGCTGTCCACCAGCCGCACGTAGCGGCTGCGCGTGGCCACGTCCTGGTGCCTGAAGAGCTCGTCGCTGACCAGCAGCGTGTCGATGGCCAGGGCCTCGTTGGCCCTCTCCACCTGCTTGAGTCCGTAAAAGGCTCGGTCGGGCTCGTGCTGTAACATTTTATAGAAGTCGTCCAGGGCCTTCACCTCGCCGGCAGCCTTCGTGTCTGAAAGGCGGCTGGCCACCGCAGGGTCGCAGAGGGCTTCTTTGAGGGCGTACTTGTGTCCAGAGGAGGCATGCACCTGGGGTCACAGTGACAAAGGTCAGACAAAAGGCTCTCTCAGAGCACCCGTTAATCAGCCCGTGAGTATCTAAAGCCAAAAGCACCCACGGGGCTTGCTGCGTTTAAGGGCTTAAGCAAAGTTCACTGCACAAATATGCTGTCCATTTAACAGCTCATTGTGTCACTTACAATCCCGGTCAAATCAAGACTTCCTTCCCTTCTCCCAGCTCTAAAGCTTTAGAAACAGTTTCTACAACCCCCTTAGCTCATCTTTAGTGCCAGGGTCGGGGTGGGGAAGGGGAAGGCGCACCTGCAGGAACTTGGACCGGTTCTCCAGGAGCACTTTGTTGTCCGTCTTCACAGCTTGCTGGAACATGTAGTCGCAGAACTGCTCCCGCACGAAGCCCGGGCTGGCCACCAGGATGCACTTGACGACATCGAAGTTGATGTGGCGCTGGATGGCCTGGACCACCTGCTCGTAGAAGCGCTCCAGGGCCCGGTCGTGCTGGGCGCAGTTGCCCTTGCGCTTCCGGGGGATGTTCACCTCCACCTTGGCCCGCGTGAGGGTCATGCTGGGCGTGACCAGGCAGACGTGCGCCAGGCCCTCCTGCATGACCACGGCCGCCACGTCGGCGCTCCAGGCCGGGTCGCAGGCCTGCTCGATGCGCTCCAGCACCACGCTGTCCCACTGCTTCTTGGCCAGCGTGAACTGGCGGTTGGGCTCCAGCTCGATGGTGTGGTACGCGCCCATCTTCACGTACTCGTTCTCCTGGATGTTGGTGCCCTTCACGCGCAGCTGGCAGGCCTGCGAGTCGAAGTCGATGGCCTCCACGCAGAGGGTGAGCGTGGTGCGCACGCGGTTGCTGCCCACGCTGCCCGTGGACGACTCGGTCTGCACCTTGCGGATGGTGGAGGCGCGCAGGCTGTCGCCCACCTGCACCAGGTTGTAGGTGTGCCACATGTCCTCGGGCTCCTCGGGCACCAGGGTCACCTGGCCCGCGTTGTCTTTCTCGATGTCTTTCCTCACGAGCTTCATGGTCCGCTCCGGTGCGCGGGGCCGGACCGCAGGAACGGCGGGGTCCCCGCCGGCAGGGGCGGGGAGGGGACCCGGAGTCCCCGCCGGGAAGGGGGCGGGGCCTGGCTACGGGGTTCCCACCGGCGCTGCGTGGCCGGGGTGGGGAGGAAGGACTAGCTCCGACTCAAGCGGCCGAGGGAAGCACTCCAGTCCCACCTTGCTTAGCCTCGGGGCGCGCCGCGACGGGGAGGCCCGAGAAGCACCCTACCTAACAGGGTCCGACCCCCGTTCCTGCAGCCGGCGCGGACCCGGTGGCTGACGCAATGAGGACGCATGCGCAGCCCGCGTCCCCTGCTCCCCCTCCCGGCGCAGGACTGACGTCCGAGGGGAGGCGGGGCCGCTCCCTGCGCGTGCGCAGTACACGGGGAGGGGCTCCTGGCCGTAAATCTCCTATGAGAGGTGCCCAGTTCTTGCGGGAGAATCTTTTATTTTAAAGCTCAAGTCGCGCTTTGTAAATTTTCCCGTCCTTTCCAGTTTATGAAGAATCTGAAGACACATGAGAGAAAGTGCACATGTTTTTTTAAAGTTGCATGCATTTGCGGCTCTCCGCCTTCTACCTTCGGGTAAACCCAATTTCAAAACTTATCTAAAACTACAAAAAAATTCTCGAAAGTGCAGGCTTGACCCCAAAGTTGCAAACTATGCCTTGTTCTCATCATATCCACCCTCGGACGCCGCAAGCCGCCCGGACCCAGGTCCTCCAGGAGCGGCTCTCGAGAAGGACGGGTTGCGGTGGTCCGGCTCCCAGCCACGTGCTCGGCCAGCGCGCCGGCCGGACCTGGTCTGCCCGAGGTCAGGGCGCTGGTCCCGGGGACGGAGGGAACCACCGTGCAGTCTGCCCCTGGGTGGACCTCGCAGTCGCTCGCGGGGTGCCTGGGAATCCCAGAGCCCGGGACGGGCCCCCTTAGGCCCCCTCCGTTCAGCCGCGGGGGCAAAGGTTAGGCTGGGGGGTTGGGTCGCAGGAGCTCAGGCGGGGACCGTCACCGCCACTGCGGAGAGCTGAGATTTGGCAAGTTGGGCGAAAACGGACCCACCAGGACCCCCGATCTGACAGCTACAGAATTGGCTGCAAAGAAAATCCCTAAATTACGTTTGTTGGGGGGTGGGGCGGCTTGCGAGCTGGGGATTGCCTGCTAAGAAGACCAGCCAATAGTAAACGCCCGGCCAAGTTTTCGGGGGAGTTCAGACGCGGCGGGGGGCGGGGAGTCCTAAGCTCACCTGCGGTTCATGATCTTTCCTGCCTTCGTGTCCGTGGCGGGGACGGGGAAGCTGGTCACCCTGCAGGGGGAGACAGGGTTGGAAAGGAGGGATCCGACTCGGGCACAAATCTTAACACCCAAGTCTCAGTGATCTCGCTCAGAGATGGTCTGGGCACACGAAGGGTCCTCTCTGGAGCTGGGGTGCCCATCGCACCGCTCTTTATTTTGGGGCCTCTCCTCTCCCTCTCACGTCCTGCCCCGCCTTCCTGCGACACGGACCCCTCCCGAAGTTCCCAGCTCCTTGCTTTCTCCTTCCACTTCCACTTCCACTTCCACTTCCAAGAGAACCCACCGAGCAAGGAACGGATCGCCCTAACATGTGAAGGTGTCTTGCCTCTCCAAAGGACAGTGTATCTTTTTAAAAGGTGCTTATTAACCTAGAAGAAATCGCAACTGGGAGTGGGAGGGAGGGAGGGAGGCTGAGGAGAGGGAAGAGGTACTTTGACGTTCCCCTTGACCACCTTTCTAAGTACAATGGACCTATCTTCAAAGTCAGCCAAGGATTAACACGCACAGAATCCCAGCGGCAGCACACAGTACGATCTCCATAAATGTTCGGTTCTTATGAAGAGCTGTCACTTACTGAATATTCACCAGGTGCTTTCCTATGCCCTTTCTGATTCTCATCTGCAAGATCAACATGCGTTATCCTCATTTTATAGATTTAAAAAGATGGATTACAGAGAAGTTAAGAAAGGTGTTCCAAAATCATACAGCCCACACTGAAATGCAGACCAGCTTCCCCCCACCCCCTCTCCTCTTTCCGCTCCTGCAACGCGGCATTATGGTCGCCTGGAGTCACCTCTGCGACCACAAGTCCTGTGCTGTTACCCACCGCCACTTCCCCTCAACTGTCACCTTTGCCATCGAACAAAACCAACCTGCAGGGTGTGAAGGGCACCGTTCCCTTCCTCGCTCTCTCATCACTTTTTTAAAGTCTTTACCTTCTTTTCCATAGTTTTCATTTTGCCCAGCCTAGGTCACCATTAAAATCCTTGGGGGGGAAAAACACCCAATATTCTATTTTAGGAAAATACATCTTTCTATGTGTAAAACCTGTGGATAACAAGAGATGGAGGCTCGGAGCCAGGTAGAAGAATTGGAAAGAGAGAGTCCCTCATCTAGCAACTTTATGATGGCCAGGCTAATCCTGTGGACGTGCCCACAGACACGAGAGGAAATGTTTCTAAAACGTTGCGAATCCGATATTTTGACCCAGAGGCGGGAAGGGTGGAACCGAAATCCGCAGAGATAAGCTGTGGAGCGGGGAGCAGGGTGCGGTGCCGGTGAGGTCAGGCTGGGATGCTGGGTGTGCGGTGACAGAGAGGCAGTAACGTCGTGGCGCTGTGGCCACGGCACAGGATGCTGGGTACCCAGAGAGGTTGTCAACATAGAGTTGGAATTTAAAGCTGCGTAGCTAAGGAGAGACTCTCAGAGAGCAATGAGGGGACAGCTGGTTGGGGGGGAGGGGGGGCTGGAAGTGGGAGTCCTGGGAAGGCGGCGGTGACCCAGCCACTGTGTCAGACGCTGCTCAGAGGTCAAATCCAATGACACCGGAATAAGGATCATTGGCACCGTGGATGACCCTGACAGGAGCTGTTTATTGGCATGGCCGGGTGAGGGACAAGGGAAGACACTGGAAGCAGAGAGTGCAAAACAGCCGCCCTGAAAAGGCTACAGACAGTACGGTCCACCCCCGTGGCCTCCGGGCAAAGGCAGAGCTGGAAAGACAGTGCCAAGACCCCTGGTTGCAGGGGCTGGAGGGGGGAAGGGAAGGGGGATGACAAGGCAGAGCACGGGAGGTTTTTTAGGACCGTATACCATATTTGTAGGACTATAAGACACACCAGACTACAAGACTATAGGTTTTAGAGGAGCTAAATAGGAAAAATTTTTCTGAAGCAAAAAATGTGGTAAAATATTTAATAACCTGTGACCCTGCTCCACTGCACCCCTCCTCCGCCCCAGAGAGCCAGATAAGCTATAAGATACACCCCCATTTGCCTCCTAAATTTGCGGGGTGAGTGTGTCTTATAATTTGAAAAATATGGGGACTATTCTGAATGACACTGGGATGGTAGACATATGACATGCATTTGTCGAAACCCATAGAAATATACACAGATATAAACTGTGGGCTTTGGTTTGAAAGCAGTGTATCAGTATTGGTTCATCAGTTGTGGCAAGTGGACCCCACCAATGCAAGCTAGCAATAGGGGAGGGGGTATGTGTGCGGCAGGGGCAGGCTGTATGGAACTGTATCTGCTGCTTACCTTTTCTGTAACGCTAAAGCTGCTCTTTAAGAAATGCTGAAAACCCACATTGTTAAGCCTGTGAGTTTTTTTTAAAGATACTTTCCTTTTTTTAAAGATTTTATTTATTTACATTTAGAGAGGGAAGGGAGGGAGAGAGAGAGAGAGAGAGAGAGAGAGAAACATCAATGTGCGGTTGCTGGGGGCCATGACCTGCAACCCAGGCATGTGCCCTGACTGGGAATCGAACCTGCGACGCTTTGGTTCACAGCCCGCGCTCAATCCACTGAGCTATGACAGCCAGGGCCTATTCTGTGAGTTTTTAAAAAAATTTATTTAAATTATGAGGCAAACTGCTTTGGGCTCTGTTCGTAAACATGAATGTGCTTCAGTGATGGAACAGGCTACAAAATTTTTCACAGGATTACCGTTTGATCTCAAACATCTTTAACTTATTTTTTTTCTTTTACTAAAAGGAGCTTATTGCAGAGTGAGCAGATGTCTTCTCCCAGATTGTGTGTTATAATTCACTAGTTCTACACCACTCGTCACACTTTTATTTTGAGTTGTTCGGCGTCCCCATTCCTGTTCAGTGAAATCCGGATTGTCTGGCATTCAAGGCCTCCCCGGCCTGGCCTTCCCCAAGCCGAGCCCACGTCCGCACTGGTCCCCGCCCAGACCCTGCTCCGCCCCAGGCCACAGGCGGGGTCTCGGTTCCCCCACATCCTTCCTGGGAACTTCTGCTTTGCGGCCTGAGCTCACGCTCTGTCCTCTCCACTGAAAATGCCACGCCCTCTCACCGCCGCCCCCCCTAAATCCCACTCATCGGTAAGGACCAGCGTACATGGGACCTCAGACTGGAAGCCATGCATCATAGTCGTTGGAAAAGGTATCTTTTCTCCGTTACTCGGCCCTGAGCGGATCCCTCCGCTGACCGTCAGCGAGTCCCTTGCACGCCGCAGGCACTCATGCACCCAGGACGAGCTGGGCAGGTCACAGCTGCAAAGTGTGGCAGCTCTAGGGACATTATCGCAGGCGGCCCTTAAGGCACGATATGGTCACCGGCTATCGTGCACTTCATTGAATAATTTAGTTTAAAAAGTAATTCCCCTTTCTTGGGAACTGCTACAGTGATAGGGCAGTGCATGGTATTTTCATTCTCCACCAAAATAAAACCAACTGTGAGGACATGAGGAAAAGACCAAGATTCAGCTCTGTTGCTTTAAAGTCTGATTTCATAGTTAGGTGTTGGTTCTTTGAAAATAGACACCTGCGCATCAGTACCTTTATACCTATTTCTCTACAACATTTTGTTTATATTAATCTCGCTAAAAGAAAAAGAACGTTAATGCTGTTACCTCCCAAAGTTTTCTATTTGATGTTTCTGACATACTTCTTTCTAGTGTCTCCCAGCAAGAACCCCACCCGCCACCTGCGCGCTGGACCGCAGTCCCCCCCCACCCCCTCCCCGCGGCCGAGGTTGTCTGTGCGTTCTGGCGGGGTTCGGTCTCTTTTACGTAAGAATCCAGGGCCTTGGGTTCAATAATGAACGCTGTTTCAGTTCTAAAAATTGTGCTACAACAATATTTAAGAAATTAAACCCTGGCTGGCGTAGCTCAGTGGATTGAGTGTCGGCTGCGAACCAAAGCATCGCAGGTTCGATTCCCAGTCAGGGCACATACCCGGGTTGCAGGCCATGACCCCCAGCAACCACACATTGATGTTTCTCTCTCTCTCTTTCTCCCTCCCTTCCCTCTCTAAAAATAAATAAATAAATCTT